GCTCTAGGACCCATTTGTTTGTCTTTTTGGCTGTCTATGGGATCCTCAAAACTCTTCTCCAGCAAGCACCACTCTCAAATGCATTGATTTTCTTCCTCTCATTTTTCTTAACTGTCCAGCTCTTGCACCCATACATGGTAATAGGGAATACAGTGGCTTCTATGATTCTAACAATTGTGCTCAGTTGTATATCTTTACATTTTAGGACCTTTTCTAGTTCTTTCATAGCTGCCCTCCCCATTCTTAGTCTTCTTCTGATTTCCTGACAGCAGTCCTCGCTCCGATCAATGTTTGATCCTTGGTATGAGAACTCTTTTACTATTTCTATTTCCTCATTGTCTAGGTTGGATTTGTTGAATTCCAAAATGTCCTCCATTTGGAGCATGACGACCAAGCATCGATTTATCCTTATATTAGTGTTTTAAGCTTTTATTTGGTCATGTCCTACATTTTTAGTCTGACTGTCCAACATTTCACAGTGTTTTGTCCTCCTCTGTAGTTAGGACATCTGGTCACCCTGCTCCCATCCCTCCTCCACCACCTTCTTCCTCATCCACAGAGGACCCTAGCTGCATCCACACTGCAGAAATAATTTGGTTTGACACCACTCTAACTGCCATGACTCAAGGCTGTGGAATTCTGGGAACTGTATTTTGTTGTAAAATAAAACATCCCATTTTAAACCAAGTTTTCCCTTAACCACATGAAACTATGTACATGTACTGCAAATACATTTGGGTTCTGTGGATGATACTGTAATTTAAAGGTATAATTTTAACCTTACTAGTTGTTTATGTCACAACTATTGCCATTCCTTTCAGCGATTATATATATATATATATATATATATATATATATATAGGAATTATAGTTTATGAGTAACCATAGTACAAAAAACATGACTAAACATTTTGGATGAGGAGCAGGGTGACCATATTTTCATAGCCTTAAGCCATGGCAGGTAAAGCAGTCTTAAACACAAAACTGCAGAAATAACTGTTGTAATTAGTCAATTAAGTTCCTTCGCTGTTGTGAGTTTGGTGTAAGCCTGCTGCTTGGTTTTTGGTTGGTTTGTTTTGGTTGGTTTGGTGTAAGCCTGCTGCTTGGTGTAAGCCTGCTGCTTGGTTTTAAACACAAAACTGCAGATTTTGATACAAGAAGCAGAAATTCTGGGATATATAGATTCCTTCA